TTTGAGGTCTCCACACAACCTTCTCTTCTCCAGGCTGAACAGCCCCAACTCTCTCAGCTTGTCCTCATAGGGAAGGTGCAGTCCTCTGATCAGCTTTGTGGCCTCCTTTGGCCTTGCTCTAACAGTTCCATGTCCTTCTGATGTTTGGGATGCGAGATCTGTGTGCAGTACTCCAGGTGGGTCTCACCAAGTGCAGAGTCTTAGCTCTAAATTAGGCTGTATTGAAGGGGAGTTATGGATGGAGGGAGCTGGCTGCGGTCTGTGCTGGCTGCTCTTGGCTTCAGTTTTGGGGGTTGATGCTGTTGGGTTTAGTTGTCTTGCTGTAAGGTAAAAATACCCAAGTGTTTGTGGTGATTAAGCTGGGTGTGGTGCTGCTCATGAGATGATGTCAGGAAGCACTGAGATATGGGCCTGCAACCACAAGTCAAAAGATCACTTGGGCATAATGAGCTGCCTCCTGCCAGGTGGGAGCAGCAGACGAGGAGCAGTGGACAAAGTGCAGCTTGACAGCAAGAGAGAGCTGGGAAAGTGGGTGCTATCATTAACTGTGGTTCAGCTGAGAGACAACGTCGTCTAACTGCGCAATAAAGCAATTGCCCTGCATGCAGTGTCCTATCTCTGCAGCACCTTGTGGACTGAAGCAATAAAAACAGGATTAGGTTTGTTGGTTCTAGGTGCAAAGGCTAACAGTAAGAAGGCCTAGGGACTAAATCTTCCTCTGCAGGGAGGAGGGAGGTGGCTATGGGGGTTGAGGCAAGGACATGTGAATTATGGAAGAGCTGTGGTGATGCTAAGAGTAGGGAGAATGTGCTTTAGGTATTGTCATGATAAATAATGTCAACTCTGGTTGCGTTTTCATCTGAGCTGGAACAAATGTGGAGAAGAGAGGTTCTTCTTTCCCCTAGTTACCTTCCTGCAGCCTGGCTTGGGGGATTAAAAACCTTTGTTTTGGCTTGTTTTCTCCTAGAAATAAAAACAAGAGAGTGTTTTCTGTCTGACAAACATCAGGGTGAGGAAGTTGTTGGAGTTAAAGGGCAAGGCTGAAACAGGACCAAAAGCAGAAATGATGCACAGCTGCCTTGGCAGTACCCTTGAACTTGCCTGTTCTCCTCCAGCACATCATTGGTTGGGTTTTCCTCTCCTGTGGCTCTAGGCCAGAAGTACTGAAGGTTTCAAGAACATTATGGGCTGTTAAACATGGCATATTATGCACAAATAAAAAGCTGAAGGAAAGAGGAAAGTTTTCTTCTCTGATACATGAAGAAGTGTAGGTCTTGGGGCCTTTTTCCTCCCTTGTGGTCTTGTGTTGTGGTTTTGTTTAGAAAAGCTTTCTCTTTGATTAATTCCGTCTGTGTGCTGGGGAAACCAGTTCTAGGTACAGAGTAATCACTACTGGCAGAGCTAGGAAGAGACACATTGGTGGGGAGAAGAGTTCCTGCAGAACTCTTCCAATGTGATAGGGAAGAGGAAAAAGTGAGTTTGGGTGAGTGAGTCACCAGCTGTGGCTCCAAGGAGGTTTTCCAGGGCTCTTCTTGAAAGTAAAGGTCTCTCCCAGCTCTTTTAGTTCCTTTATTAAACCCAAATCAAACCCTTCAACACTGTGGTTAGAAAGTTGAGCTGCTTTAGATTTGCAAATGTGGTCCCAGTGCCTTTTTTATGTTCATGTTTAATAGCCTTCATGGGGTTTGTTTGTTGGGTTTTTCTCTGCCATCATGGAGAGTCTAAGCTTGTAAATAATAAAGGTTTTTAGTGTTTGTTCTTGATCATGGGACAGCTGGTCCAATTCTCATTGTTGTTCCAAGGCTAAAGATAGGTTTGTGAAAGGATCAAGAGTTGAGTTGCTGCACAGAACTTGTCCTGTGGCAAACCGTTCAGAGGGCTGAGGGTTGGTGCTGGGGGAGGAACTGAACACATGTAATGCTGGTGACATTTCCTTTCCAGGTGATGGAATATGAGAACAGGATCAGAGCCTACTCCACACCAGACAAGATCTTCAGGTACTTTGCCACGCTGAAGGTCATCAACGAGCACGGCGAGTCGGAGGTGTTTATGACACCTCAGGACTTTGTGAGATCCATAACTCCTAACGAGAAACAGCCTGAGAGTAAGTCATGTGTGGATGGTCACTGGGGAGCTAATCCTTTCCTGTCTCTGCTTACCTCATCTTTAAACCTCCCAGCTTTGAGCATGGGGTTGCTAGGGCAGGGAAGCACCTCCTGAAGGTGCTTCCATCTCCATGCTCCAAGCCCAAAATTAGCCTAATCCCTCCCATGTTGCCTCAAGCGTTGTTGCAGCATAATAGATCTCGTTGGTGTGAGCCCTCGGAGAGCAGA